TATTATTATTATTATTATTATTTATCTGCAAATGTTTTTTGTAGAAAAGTCGCTCCAAAAATAACACAATGTGACAAAATGCTGCTTTTTCGTTAAGTTACCATTCATTGTGCATATGAGAAATGCTTGAAAAACTGCAAATTCTGATTGACAGACTGAGGTCGTGTGCCAATTTGTGAAAATCTGTTGTAGGTTTTTACGGCAAGTTTTCCCGAGGGTCACATTGTTGAAAACCTAATAGATCGTATCCGATACATTAAACAGATGAGATTGTATCGATACCGATTGGTTCAAAACCAACATCAGTCAAAAAGTCAATTGAGTAATCTGACAGAACGGGCTTTTCGTCATACGTTTTTTATTCGTATGAGCACTTATTAGCCATGAGTAGTGACATTGCTACGAAATTTCTCATTTTCATTTTTTCTGATAAATATCGTAAAATTTTGGTTTGAGGTTATGTTCTATTGTTTTGAACCAAACGATACATCAAACCACTTTCGAATACAATCCATTATTCTAGTAGTGTGTGGGCCAAATCTTAGGTTTGAATAATTCTTTCTGAGTTAAGCTGAAGGATGGATAAGTTTATTTCTATTTTGTAAAATTTACAATAAATAGGTTCTTAAAATAAAATACACTTTACAAATGAGTTCAAAAATAACTTCGTGCTATTTGCAAGTAATCGGGGGACTTTGCAAGTCAAACATTTTTTTACAAATGCTAACTCATCATCATTGACAAGTGCAGAGGGATGAATAAATTTTGAGAGGTAAAAAAAATAGATAAAGGGAAAGATAGCATTGCTTTTTAGGTAGTTTCATCTTTAGAACTGAGAACAAATAATATGTCTTGACGCAAAGTATAAAGTTTAAAAATTAATTTTTCTGATTTCAGGTACTAGAAAAACCAAGGAAGGAACAGTGGCTTGCATACTATCTCAAACCCTATTCTTAGTAACGCTAGTTTACTTTAATGTTTTAACATATACATGTATATTTCATCCAATCACAGCCATTACAATAATTTCTCTGGTTGAAGCAAAGACTGATCAAGTTGATAATATTGCTCTCCCATTATTGATGTATCTCCTTTTAATACTCTGATTCGACACTGAATTCGTGAACTTAATAAGGCAATGATCACAGACTAGGCGGCTCTCCAACTTTGTGTTTTACAATATCTTTAAAAATTCTGAATATTCGTGAACATGTTCATATACGAGGGGGCAAGCCCCCTGGCTGCTAGGCAGCCTAATTGTCAGAGGGCACAATCCCGCTCTCTAAGATCTGCTTCGCTCAAGGTAAGTGAAACGAAAGTATGCTATTCCCGACCCTTTTGGGTAGGACTCGGCTTTCGGTTCCCGCCGCTAGAGTTGTGACGCAAAGTTTAAATTTCAAGAATTTTGCAGTCTTGGCCGAAAACAAATATGGCCTCCTGCTGTTGATAAATGAAAAAAGCAGCCGAAATACTAAAAGCAAATGAATGTTCATTTTTAAAGAATTCGCTTGTATTAAATTTGTTTGTTTTAATCAATAGCAGACAGTTATATTTGTTTTCGCCCAAGATTGCAAAATTGTTGAAATGCAAACTTCGCGCCACAGCTCTAGCGGCGGGAGCCGAAAGCCGAGTTCTGGCCGGGAAGAGCATACCTTTGTTTCACTTACCTTGCGCTTTGCTAGCCCTTGCAAAGGAGACCCTAGAATCTGAATAGGGCCGGCTTATTCAGTGTTAATCACCTATTAATAGCTGCAAAAATCATAGAATTTGGCCCAGTTCGCCGGAACAAACTAAGACAAAAAATGAAAATGAAAGTGGCTAAAGAGCTTATAGAAGGTAATGATTCCATTATTCGACACATTCATGTATATAATTTAAACTCTTGTGATTACCATTTGATCCAGTTTAAGTGATTGCTCCATGGAACCCAGTTTTAAATGTAGATGCAATATTTTTTTATTTATTTATTTTTTTTTTATTTGGGAAGACCATACGTCAAGAAGTGTTTTAGTAAGAGTTCATGATTGCTTGCACCCTTTCACAGGTGACCAGCTTAGCTGAATTCTGATAATGTTACCTGTCCTAAATTATTTAAATTGCCAATAGTGAGTCATAAAAATTGGAAAAGAAAGCAATCAGAATTCATAGCCCAGCCAATTCTCTAGGTTTGACAAATACTTATGTATTGTCTGTTTCAAGTACCCTACAGAATTATCTTCAGTTTGATTATTTTATATACTTGATGTTCTTTCAGTTGCCAAGAAACTGAAGTATCCCTCTTTCATTTTGTTATTTAGTTATTTTTAAGTTGAGTCATGATATTTTTTAATGAAGGTGTAATTTGAGACTAAAGAGACATGTCTTTTTTTCCGCGCAGTATTAAAACTGTAAATGAAGCGATTACTTTTGAATATTCTCTCACCTAACACTTCCGACCATATTTTGTTGAAACTTTGATGATACAACACAAAAAAATAACTTGGAACATATTGGGCAGAAGGGGCAATTTTTGAAGAAGGTTACACAGGTCCACAGTTTATGTTTGCAATATCTCAGGAAATTCAAATGCTAATTATTACCCGACTTCAAACTTTAAACAGTAAAGCAAGACAGGGAACTCTATTTTTAATTTTTTCAAAAATAGTTGAATGCTTTAAAGATTCGGTATTTTAATTTTTCAAATGCATTTTTTTTTTTAAAACCAAGTTAATCACTATCAGCCTTTGGACAGAAAAATTAATGGGATACAAGAAAGGGGAAGTTCAGATTAGTGCAATTTACTTTATTTTCCAGTCCATGAGAGAATTCAAAATGAAGTACCTACAAATCCAATTCACATAATTTTTCTTCCCTTTTGCTGTAGTTCCTTTTCATTAAATTTTCAATTGAAGGATGAATTTTATTTGATACATTCACGACAGTAATGTGACGGTATTTTTTTGTGGTAATAATCAATTTCACCAAGGAGGTTATGGCTGACTTTCAGAGACAACCTCAGCAGTTTTTGGGTGAGGAGAATGCATTTCAGAATCTCTCAGAGACACATAAAAGCCGATGTTAACGGACATAAAAATTGGAAAACCATAATGAGCACCAAGAATTTCATTCCAACTTCATTTACATCTTCTACTCGTATTGTATCGGTGACTTTGATTAATGATCAGGATTTTTTTTTTTAGTAAAAACCTACTTTCTGTTGCGTATTGCTGACAAAAATAGTTGGTATTAAGTAACATTCTAATTTCATTTTCTTGCTCCTCTCTTGCGAGGAATGCAAGCTGCAAGAAAATTGTTTATTACCCATTGTCTCCTTAAGGATACAGAAGTTTCAAAAAGAATGAAATTTGCAAGACTCTTCCTGTTATGAAAGCAGCCTATTCTCACAAAATACACTTACAGCAACATCAAATTGTTGCAAATAGGTACTTCGTCCTGATAATTGCAAGAAAGAGATTAAAAGAATATTCAACTGGGTTAAGAATGAAGTTCAACTTCGATACCTAATCCCTTAAACGACTGTAGGTTAAGAGAAACCTGTGAAAGAACACGTATTGAGTTAGTAGAATTGCACAGGTCTCCCCTTTTAAAAAAAAATTGAAAAATCGCTTTGCGTAGGCATTGAGTAAGGTTTTTCATTTTTCTATTTTATTTGCAGATCGCTCTTATTGGAATTATTAACTTAAAAACAACCGTTTCAATCTAATGATCTGTTCAAAAGTTTTGCATTTAACTCCCCTCCCAGGAGGAACCTACATCAAGCCGTATGCTATATTTGAAATTCTCACGTACTTCTGCATCATCTTTGGAAAGATAATCGTGCCTCACAAAGAACAAAATCTAATGGGAGAAAGGACATTCTCTTTCAACTGTATGTAAAGATTTTGGCTGCACTAGATAGACTAGTCTGAATCTTCAAATAAGGCATTTTTGCTTGAACAGTCAACCAAACTGGTTTCAAAATTATGATCCCAATTACTCCTTGGTGGTTCAGCATTATTCTCTGCCAGGGTTTTCCCTTTTTTGCTGGAATCACTGGCCATGATATGTGTTAGATTATTGTCTTGTGTAGAACCAGAACTCTTTTTTAAATTATTAGAAAGAAATTGATTCTCAAAGCTGTCATTAAGATCAAAACTAAAAGAATCATCTAATTCATTAGCTACATCACCTTGAAGAGTTTCTGATGGCCTATTTATTTCACTTTCCACTTTTCCTTGATTTGAAAAAATGGGCTCTCCTTCCGCACTTGAGAGGTGAGGTAAATTAATAACAAGACCAGAACATAGCTCTGAATAATTTGTACCATTCTTTTCAATTTTCTCCAGTTTTGTTTTTTTCCTGGTACGAGTGAAAGCATCCATTCCTTTCATAAATGCATGACATTGCAAGAATGAAGATGAGAGGTTACAATATGAAAATTTTCGCAAATCATTTTGATCAATGGAGCCAAAGTCAGCTCCTGAGAGAAGCAACGTTTTCAGTCGCTGGAATTGTCTTACAACAAGAGAAAAAGATTTCTGTGTAAGCTCAGGGTTGTCCATCAAATTCAGGTACTCAAGGTTGACACCTCCTTTAACAGAGCTGTAATTTAGACAGATTACATAAATTAAAATTTAAAAGTTTATCTGAATAAATTTCATGCAATTCCTCTTATAATGTAGCACTCTTATCTTTCTTTTTTTTCGTAAAAAAAAAAAAAAAATAAATAAAAATTGCAAAATGTCTTTTAAAAATTAAGTCAAAGATACTTTGAACATGGAGGGAAATTACCTGAAAGTCAGTTGTCTGACCCAAGAAAATATTATTCTTTTCCCTGAGAATTTTCAACTCCCCAGCCTTCCCCCCCAAAAAACAAGCAGCAAATTCCAATATAATGGGTTGATACTGCACGTCCTTTATGGATATGTGTATCTAGTTGATCGGTTTCACAGACACACCAAGTATGTTGTATGGCAAATGCACAGTCATACATCTACTACGGTTCCATCAGAACTGGTTTTCTTTAGAATATTTTAGCAATCTCTTTATGTCACTAACTGCCTTCTAAAATTCAATTATATGTCTTAGTTGTTGCTTCTATTATTAAAAGTGAGATTAGGGCTGCTCAGTGCTCAGGTATATAAGAACTTTAAAATCAATGCCTCTTCTGTGACAACAGACTGTTAATTTACATCTTAACCTGAATAAAAATTTTTACCAGTGTTATTTTTTTTATGATATAGTTAAAAAATTTAGAAAACAATAAATAAGCGGTCTTACGGGGTCTTGAACCCAAAGCTTCTATGCCACATTTTTGAACATTCAGCCAAATGAGCAAAAGGTATTGACAATGAGGAGGAAACGAAACTAGTGCAGCAGACACGCATAACTGGATCACATTTCGCAATAAGGAACCACTATTTCTGGCCCGTTTTAGAAACAACATTTTGGAGCAAGAAATTGGAACAATCACATTCAGAGGATAACGATGGTGGTGATAACATGTTTTCAGTCAGGAACAAAGAAACTAGATCATATTTGCATTATTTCTGGTTGACTCAATCCATCATTTGAAATGAACGACAGATGTTTGACTCCTGTTTGTCTCGAGGTTCATTATGAGCAATTTTCTATTATGGTATGGGTACTGCTAATTACTTTTTGTATTTTTTTCCTAAATTGCTGATGGCGGAAGACTTGGGCTTTCCGCGTCTGAACATAGGAAATTCTGTGGTGCTGCAGTTAAGTTGCTCTACGGACATTGAATGCTAGGTAGGGGTGGTTTTCTAATTATTCTTGGCAGTGAGTAAATTATAAGATTGATTTGTTTAAGACGGGACAACATACGATATTTCAAGAAACTAACAAAAAGAGGCTTAGCAGTGCCCGCCTAGGATTATGTTGAGTTTGTGGCAATAAATAATTCAAGAAAAGCTGATTGATGGATGCTTTTCCGTTATTGCCGATTGGCCTCCAAACCTCCCCGATAGTAGTCTGAAAATGCCTCCCCCCCAGATCATACATAGGATGAAGCTTGATTCTTGACCTTGGCCTACCGAATACCCTTCAGAAGGGGGGAGATGGCTCAGGCGTGCGTCATGGCTATAAGATCGAACCATGAGACTAAAACTCTACAAAATTACTACAAAGTAAGTAGACTGGTGCTGCCATTTCAAAACTAGGCTACCTAGCAACTTGATCTTGGTCTCATTTGAAAGATCTAATCCTCTTCTATTGATTGAGATCAAGATCAACTCATTTGAATAAAAATTCAACAAGTTATGACACTACATGTAAGGGGTGTACGCGCGCTGTCTACAGGTTTTTAACAATAGTTTATTTTATCCCCTATTGTCAGACTCCACCAGATTATCAGATTGCTTCTCAAAGTATTTTCCGTTGTTGTTCATACACTGCTTGTGTATCCTTTCCTTCCATTTCACGAGCATAGTTTTCTCAAATTCTTCCTGGGGAATTTTTTTGAAGGTTTTTTGGACAGCCGTCTTGATTTCTTCCTTGGTCCTGAATATTTATACTGCGAAGCTCCTTCTTAAGAGTAGGGAACAGCCAGACATTGCAGGGAGCAAGATCTGGGCTGTATGGCGGATGTCTTAGAAGTCTAATACCTTTGCTTACGGGTAAAATTGGATGTGTGTGCCCTCGCATTATCCTGATGGAGAATCCACGAATTTTTCAAATGGGGCCTTTCCCGGGAAATGTGCATCCGCACTTCCGCCAAAACATTGCAGTAGCACTCGCTGTCAACTGTCGTGTTTTCTGTCACAAAGTGCTGGTAAATAATGCCCTGAAACTAAAAAAAAACGACAAGCATGACCTTACATACAGACTTTTCTTGTCGAATGAAAACCTCGTAGGCAGCGTGCGTACACCCCTTACATATAGTGTCATAACTTGTTGAATTTCTATTTAATCTTGATTTAATTTGATCTTGGTTTCAATCAATAGGAGAGGATTAGATCTTTCAAATGAGACCAACATCAAGTTTCTGGGTAGCTTAGTTTTGAAATGGCAGCATCAGTCTACTCACTTTTGGGACACCCTTTGTATGTAGGATAGGCTCCTATCCTTGAATATAGCAGTCAGTTGACAGCTGCAGATATTTTCACCTACTTCGAACTCTTGTCTACGCTCCAATCGGCGAAATATTCGGCATAGAATCTACCTGGAACTAGTACATTCAAAACATGAAACATTTGGCTAGATTCAAAAGTGGCATGAAAAGGTGGTCACTTTAAAAGTAAAAAGTTAACAATAAAGTAAAAATACTTACTTGCAAAATATTTCAATGTCACAGTCTGATAAACTTAGGAGAGACAAATCAATGGTTTGCAACTTTTCTAGGTTTCTGCCATCAAGAAAGAGGGCTAATTCTCGTAGCACTGTGTTTGAACCTGTTGCACCAAGTCGTAACGACTTTAATTTTGTGGGCTCCAGACATCTTAAAAATGCAAGAAGACCCTCTGCCTGCAGCTCATTGTAACTAACATTTAATTCTTCCAAATTCTCTGGGGAAATAAAAAATAATTCAAGATAGAAAACGAATGATACGACACAATCAATGACATTATACAAGGTTCTGTAACTTCTCAGCCACTTCATCACCCCTGTTGCTTTAAATTGGGAGACCTCTAGAAGAACAGGTAAAAACGGGGGAGTCATGTCAGAATTTTTTGAAATTTTCGAGCCCACAGTTTCTGAGGTAGTAAATTCCAATTTTTGGGGGAAAGGGCTTTTTCTTCTTTTAATTTCAGTCTTGAAAGGGCGCTGATCATATATTTTGTTCTGAAATATCAGCGCCTCACATTAGAGACGCGTCGCCTTGGAGGCCAAAGCTCACCCTAGGCTGGAGCGCCATCAGTAGGTAAGTAATCCCAAGATGAACTGAACTTTCAAAGTTGTGAATGAAAATTCCACTGCATTTGAGCCTTGCTAATTTTTCATAAATTTAAGATATTTGCAGAGCCCTTTCGGTGCAAGCTATGATAATCATTTCTGCAGTTTAAGTGAGGGTTTCATCAAGAACGAAACAAATATTTAAAGCCATCTGCTGATTGCAAATGTCATTTATGCTGAAAGAGTATCGTGGCACAACACGGAATAAAAAAGCGAATTAGAAATATACTGCGAGCGCAAAAACACTACATCGAAATAGCCATGAAAAATTTTTGGGCAAGTTCTGTACGCTGGAATTTGGCAAAATGCATTATCAGGATTTACTCAAGATTCCCTCCAAAGAAAGACAATAGCATGGGGCTGCCTCGTTTGCTCTGGGCCCACCTCGTACACATACTTCAGGTGAGAGAAATCGACAATCGCCAATCTTTTTTGCCACGATTTCCGAGATGCAATATCCACTAGTGAGTAAATCGTGAGCTCTATGGTGTACCAAGTTAAAAAGCAATTTTTGCTTGGGTATTGTCGCCAGAATCTGCTTCTAACATGTCTTTGTAAAAAGAAGCTCAGTATGGGTGGTTCAGATCGCTGTGTATTACAGCTGCACAAAGGCTTATAAAATCTATTAAAACTTGAAATGAACAAGTCAGAATGCATCAGAATAGTATGGTTAGTATAGGGTAAGTGCTACCATGACCACCTTAAAAGATGACTCTTTTGTTAAACCAGTGCTATATACTCACACCTACATTTCAAGAGTCGGTAATTTTTTTAATTTTCTACATCCTGTCGATGGGTTTATAGATCAGAAAAGCTTTCACAATAATAAATTATGTTAAGACTATTTACTTTTTAACTTTAACATTGATAGGCTTTAGTCAAAACAATAATCTGTGTAGAAAATGTGATGGAAACTGCTGAAATTTTGTTCTAGACTTGAGTTCAACATCTTGTTTGAAAATTAAGCAAGTCTTGGAGTAAATGACCAAGAGAGCACTACTTCAAAATGTACATTAAGAAGAGAGACAAATTTTATCTTACCGAGAAATAATTCTGAGACTGTATTAACACACTTTGAAGTGAAGTCACAGTTTTCTATATTTAAGTATCTCAAGTTAGGTGCTGACTTGGCAATGTTGCTTAAGGGAATAAAACTTTCATCCCGTAAGGGATTGTGACTTAGGTTTAGGTACTGCAAATTCTGAAAAATTAAGCAAAACGAACAGGTAGTATGGATGGAGGAGCCTCCTCATAAGATAAATACGTTTGAAGGTGAAACAATAGATAAAGTTGACCATTGAACTTAAAACTGTAGAGAAAAACCAAGATTTGAATTGAATTCAATTTTTACCATTAATTATTACATAAATGTAATTACACTTCGGAATTCAGGATTTGAACCGCTGCTCTTCGGGGTGTGTTCAGGAAGCAAATGACCGATGCAAGCAAAGGTTTGGCCGCCTAGCACTGTTTGGAACCTTCTGCCAAAGCTCACTTCATTAAATGAAATTACACTTTGAAATATGGGATTGAAACCATTAATAACGTGAGTTAAATGGTTTCAAACCTACATTGTTTGCAGATTCTCTTGGTTTTCTCTGCATGTGTCTCAATACTGTCAAGTTTAACTTTCTAACAATAACGTTTAGCACATGATTTAGAAGCTCCTTTCCCACTGTGCAATGTATCATCATTTCCGATTAATAGAGCTGCACTAATTCAATATTTAGGCAGCAGCTGATGATAAAGACCGTTTTCAAACAATTACCTGGGGGGTTTTGGGAGTCTACTGGCTTAAGTCGAAAAGCGCCCATCCATCATCGATACTTAGACTATTTACAGTTGCAAACCGCATCAAAATCAGGGATGCCTCATCTGAACCCTCTGTAAAACCCTTGTAAACTTTTTATTTCACATGCATTGTAACAGAAAATGAAAGAGGAGCTTACGATTAATTTTATGGATGATAATTACCTGCCACACATTTTCTGGTACATTTGATAGGACCAAAAGTTCCTCTGTTGACAAACCTGTATTCTTCAAATTCAACACCGTTAAATCTTTTGATATGGACAAACATTCTGCTATCATCTGAAAAATGAAATTGAACTGATTCTATGCAAAACATTGAATGAAATGTATGCAGCTTGGTTGATTCAGCTGACGAAATTGAAAACATAGATTCTGGAATTCTAGTTTAAGTTGTTTGGACTTCAAAATGAAGGCGGAATTTTTAACATGATGGTAACTTTTGAGCCAAAAATAAAGTATTATACCTTATATATATGTACTAATCCAATTCTACCCCTGTACCCACTTACTGGACACTCTGTGCCTTTTCTCAAAAGAAACCCAATCTAGGATCTTCTTTGGCAACCAGTCTCTTAAGAGACCGGTTTGCCGTTCTCTGAACACGACCATGAAACCATTGATAGGACCAGAGGATCGATCTGTTAAATTGCGAACTAATAAATTTTAAGTTCTGATAAATTGAGGTCTTATTGTAAGTTTTAACGTTATAACGTAACGCACGATGATATGTTTGGCATTCATGATCTCCAGTTAGGTCTCATTCCAGTCCATACAAAAGAATTTCAACTGTGACGTTAGCAACCGTACAACCACTAAATGGTTCTGAATACAGAAAGGATGGAGGGTGGTTACCGATTATAGAGGCTGAGAGGAATTTTCGTCATGTTGTGGGTCTTAAAGCACAGGTTAGCGACACGCACCGGCTAATAGTAGAAAGTAGACAAACGGGCAAGAGAGTAAAAAGTGTCAAATTTGTATACTAAGAGCATCCTAGTAGGTACATCTTGCACATGTACCTTTTATAGATCCAGAAAGAAATATTATATTTTCAGAACCGAACAAAAACTTTGACTGACTAAAACACTTACCTCAAACATGTTTTGATCTAGCGGCTCGCTTAACATCAAAGACTTTAGAGGATGCCGAGCAACGATTGTTAAGATAACGTCTAAGTGTATTCGACTCAGTTTTTCATTTTTTATTTCCAGGGTAGCAGTGGTTTGGCACAGTGAGAGGATTTCAGCGATCAGTGTAGGATCAATATCTGTGTGCAAACAAACATGCTAAATTCTTCAAAATAAAAAAAATGAAATTATGCTGCATAAAGGAGAGAGGAGGGGTTGAAAATAAAAATATTGCAGAATACTTCAAAGGCGAAGACACAAAAGGGATAATTTATCTCCATAAATATGAAAATGGACTTAAGTTCATTGATGAAAGAGGTAACCGATTCTTAACAATTTCAGCAACTTGACTGACACATTCTTTGTTAAAGCAGGACTACAGAAGCTGCAGGGTTGTTGACACATCTCGATCACGAGACCTGATTCATGCATGCCAAATTGAGAAGGCTGTGGGAAAGGATTTGAGAATGGGATAACTGGTTCGCATACGGGTGAAGATAGACAGATACCTGACAAAAAACAGACACAGTTCTCTTTTTTTACAATAAGCTGGCAATAGAGTGCGCGATTTTTTGGCATAGAGAAATTTTTGTGGCAAAAAAAAAGAAAAAAAAACGCTAAACAAAAACATGAGCATAGGCGTAGCTAGGCCATTTTGCTGGGGGGGGCCTGGCCCCCCACCACCGGGGGGTCTGGGGGGTATGGAATACCCCCCAGGTCAGCGGGGGGTCCGGGGGGCCTCCCCCGGAAAATTTTTGAAATTTTAACTCTATTTGAGCGCATCTCGAGGCACTTGTGGCGTTAATCTTCCTTCAATTTCTGCATAAAATTCACCCAGTTCTATGCATTTTAAGGTTAAAATACTTTGAAATTGTTGCATTCAACAGGTTATTCCATTTATTTTCTCACTTTTAACGATTAAAGATGGTGTTTTTGCACCATCCAGAATTTCTGGGGGGGGCCAGATGATACTATTTCCAATTTTGGGGGGGGCCAGGCCCCCCNACATGAGGGCATACCTAGTGAAAATTAAAAAAAATCCGAGAAAAAAAACAAGAGAAAATTACATAAGATAATGAAATGATAAATAACTGGCATGTTTATGAGAAGTTGAAGTAATTTTTCATGCATTTGCGTTTGCTTCTCGATTTTAAAGAAATGGGCGCCTCAAATTGTGCTAACTAATTTGAACACCATGTCGGAAGAAAAGCGCTTTTATGAGGTTCAGCACCAGTAAAAACACGCATACCTATAAAAGTTTGAAGTATTGTTTCAAAAAATTGAATGGACCAATTGGTTAAATCAAAGGCACTTCTTTTAAATAGATTCTACTGTTTTGAAATCCACTGAAAGTCAGGAAAAAATAAAAAATTTGCACTCCGTAATCATTAGACCAAGTAGGTCAGAAAAACGCCCTTCTTTCAAAATCCTTGTACATTAAAAAAAAGGATTTTCTTTGTAATAATTTGAAAAATAAAGATAAAGAAGGAAAGCGGGGAAATCGCTTTCGGCAAATACGCTTCAGCATTCAAACGAGCCAAAATTTTTTCAGATCGGGTCACTGGTTGTAGAGAAACCCATTTTTTTTCTGATGCACTTGTTAGCGCTTAAGACACTAAATTTAACTATGAAAGTGATTTCTTTCTTTAGTATCTCGTGGTGAAATTTATTTATAACAAATCAAAGAAATCTGTTTCTGCAGAATTTCTTCAGCTTTCAAACGAGTTAAAGTTTTCAAACATTGGCCGATTACATGCGGGAAAACTTGAATTTTTGCACATGGATGTAATGAGCAGAGACATTGTTCTTGTTTGAAAACTAATATATTAAAATATCTTGCTGTTGTTCCTTATGGAGTCTGGGGAACCTTCAAAAGCGATTGTACATTTCAATCAGTTACAAATTGCACATGTAAGATTCTGTTGATCTAATTTCTACCCCTCTTTGCACTGCCCCTCCCCCCCACCTCAAAAATGGATTTTGCTACGTTTCCAATTATCCTAACACGAGATTAAAGCCTGAAATGCTAACTCGGCTCATGCGATTCGATCACGTTTTGTGAAACAATGGTATAAGGGGATATTTTTTGAGGAGAAACTCGAATTTTCGGTCAAATTTTTGAAAATTCGAGAATCCAAGATGGCAGATGTGGCCTAAAATGCTATCTCGACTCCAGTTCAATCAGTTTCTACATTTTGAGGGTCTTTCCGTTCTTCTCTGACAGTAGATTCTAAAAAACGCGTTCAAGGGTTTTATAGTGATATCTGAGAGGTCAAACTATTTAAACTTGGTTTTATATTTTATTTTATTTTTTGGGGGGGTTAAATGTGTTTATCAGGCGGAAATGCTTCTTGGCCGAAAGAGGGGCGTATCTTCAGCGAAGTTGAAGTGTCATTATTCAGTATTCACGCGATGAATCAACAGATTTATTTCTCAAACTCGGAGGATATGCTCATTAGACAACGTAGAATTAGAAAACCTGATTGCTAAAAAAGGGGCGCATCTTGAGATATTTTTTTCTTCCGGCATGTTCCTCATTTAAGCACACTCTGTATAACAATTTCATTTTTGCCCTTTTGCTGAACACTTTTATCAAAAGGTAGGCTATCACAAGAGCTTGTTAAGTGGTACCTAAGGGATAAGATATCATGCTCATCATTTTTATTGTCATCATCACCATCAAAGACTCGTCAAAAATTCAAACTCGAAAAACATCAGCTCGTAATTAAACTCACACCATTTGCCTAATAGTCTTGCTGTGCAAATGCATGCAGCGAAGGAAAATGAAAGGACCCTGCACTCTTTATGGGAATGTGTACCAATATCGATTTCCCATTTTCAATGCATTTAATTTGTCTATGGATGCTGATCAAAAGTCATCATTGCGCAGACTTTCTACGAGCTACCATTTTTGCACAATCCGGACTTGGGTTTCAATAATTCCTTGAATAGAAGGAGACAGGGTGGCGATAAGGAGTCAACAAGGCCCCCTCTTTTTCCAGAACTCGAGATTGTTCTAAATAAAAACAAGGAAAAACTCAGGATGTGAAATGTAGGAAGGGGGGGGGAGGGAAGGAGAGAGAAAAACTGATTCGGATGATCACGTGAAAAGGTGTGCACAATTCAACTGCAGAATAAGACTGGCTGGGGTTTCCCTGATTTCCTTGTTGACACACAACCGACCGCACTCCTGTGCTGGAATGAGAGATTTCTTTGACTCTCGCCGTGCTGTCTCTGTTTGTTCAAGGAATTATCGAAACTTCACCGGCGGATAGTGCGAAAATAGTGGCCCGAAGAAAGTTGGCGCAATGATGACCTTCGATTAGCATCCATAGACGAATTTAATGCAATAAAAAAATTAGAAACCGATCGTGGCACACATCCCCATAAGGAATGTGCAGGGTCCTTTTATATCATGGCATTTACGATTGTAAAGAGGGGTATCCATAAGGGCCTTTTTTGGCCCCCCCCCCCCTAGAGGGCTTTTTTTGGCCCCACCTAGAATCTGGAAATTTATGCGGGTTTTCCAAGTTGACTTAATGTAGTTTACGGAAATGATCTTGATTTGGTCCATAGGCCACTGGATACGTGATAAACGGTTGCCTGAACATACGTCTGCAGGCGTATTTTGGCGAAAATGCGTGTTTTTCTATCACTCCGAGGCTTTTTTGACACTAAGCGCATCGTCTAACTAAAAAGAGCTTTTGATATGTTATCAAGGAGGCTTTAGGACAAATTTTGACCCTGGTTTGGTTTTAGTTAGATGATGCCCTTATAGTTAAAAAATTTTTTTTTTCAAAAGTCGACTTTAAGGGGACATCCGCAAAAATCCAAGGGAATCAGTTCGTTAGGGGTTTTGTTTGGCTACAATTAAAGAATATCTCCTTGTAAGAGTTTAACAAGGCTTGATAGCTGCCCTCGATAATAGACGTAGCATGCATACAGTTGAAGAGACGTGTTTCCCTCAGTTTTTGCGGATGTCCCTTAAAAGTCGACTTTTAAAAAAGTTTTTTTAACTGTGCGCGCATCATCTAACTAAAACCAAACCAGGGTTAAAATGTGTCCTAAAGCATCCTTGATAACATATCAAAAGCTCGTTTTAGTTAAGACGATGCGCTAGGTGTCAAAAAAGCCTCGGAAAGATAGAAAAACACGAATTTTCGCTAAAATACGCCTGCAGACCTATGATTAGGCAACCGTTCAACACGTATCCAGTGGCCTAAGGACCAAATCATGATTATTTCCGTAAACTACATTGAGTCAACTTGGAAAACCCGCATAAATTTCTGGATTCTAGTTGGGGCCAAAAAAGGCCCCCTAGGAGGGCCAAATAAGTCCCTTATCGATATCCCTCCTTTACAATAGTAAATGTCAATATAATAGCAACTATTATAAGTTTACACTAATAAATGTCAATACAATAGTAACTATTGTAAATTTACAATAGTAAATTTCATAAATGATGTTTCATAAAATTACGTATGCGTTTCAAGAGCTGCCTACGCATGTCTTTGTAAGATGAAACATTGCTACATTCTGACGATCATTGCACCAGGAAACAAATACATACAGGGTGGGCCAGAAGTTCCAGGACGGTCGGCTAACTTTTTAACGGTTCGAGATAGAAAAATGAAACTTTGGGAATGTTCCTATCTCAAAGGGGACCATCTTATGGGGGAGTCAAAATTTTGGTCCCCCCTAAGGGAGGGGGCGGGGGGCCCCCAACTTTTTTTTTTCAAATGGCAACCCCTATCTTGTGATACCTCATTCGAAAGACCATAAAAAACTAAGAATTTTGGCGCAAACCGCAGATCAATATCTTAATTTTTGACCGAGTTATGATAGGATCAAAGGTCGAATTTGACCTATTTTCAAAAAATCACAACTCCGGTTCAAATTATCGTAAAGAAAAAAATAAAACGAGAAAATTTACTAAATTGTGTTTGCTTTTTTGTAAAAATTGCAGAAATCACTTCGAACTAATTTTAAGGTGGGGTTCGGACCCCCAAATACGTCAATTCAAAGGTCATTCAATTTTCCAGTGAAATAAACCAATTTCCCCTAGATTTGCCTCCACATTATCTCAGTAAGGTCAAAATCAGTTCAACATTACGTTGGGCAAGTCCCCAAATTTCAGGAAAAGTTAAAAAAACGCAATTTAAGGTAATTAAATTTGACCGTTTAAATTGGTTTTTTTTTAACTTTTCCTGAAATTTGGGGACTTGCCCAACGTAATGTTGAACTGATTTTGACCTTACTGAGATAATGTGGAGGCAAATCTAGGGGAAATTGGTTTATTTCACTGGAAAATTGAATGACCTTTGAATTGACGTATTTGGGGGTCCGAACCCCACCTTAAAATTAGTTCGAAGTGATTTCTGCAATTTTTACAAAAAAGCAAACACAATTTAGTAAATTTTCTCGTTTTATTTTTTTCTTTACGATAATTTGAACCGGAGTTGTGATTTTTTGAAAATAGGTCAAATTCGACCTTTGATCCTATCATAACTCGGTCAAAAATTAAGATATTGATCTGCGGTTTGCGCCAAAATTCTTAGTTTTTTATGGTCTTTCGAATGAGGTATCACAAGATAGGGGTTGCCATTTGAAAAAAAAAAGTTGGGGGCCCCCCGCCCCCTCCCTTAGGGGGGACCAAAATTTTGACTCCCCCATAAGATGGTCCCCTTTGAGATAGGAACATTCCCAAAGTTTCATTTTTCTATCTCGAACCGTTAAAAAGTTAGCCGACCGTCCTGGAACTTCTGGCCCACCCTGTATAATTTGCAAAGGAAGTTATAAAACGGAACCATTCCTTCATTGCAACGAGAAATTTCTGGTATGATAAGGACAGAGTCGTGAAACCTAAAGTCGTACCAAAGTCAAATGTTAAGGAAGGTTGTCAGATGGTTTTTATGCTCTAGAGAATTGAAACAAGGATTTTGTCTGTCACCAACTTTATTTAAGATTTTTACAGAACACGTTTAAAAAAATGGAAAAAGAGGTGCTCTGGTTTGCGCGTTTCCTGAATGATGCAGACACGTTGTTTACCCTATGTTTTGCTAACGACCAGGTGGTGATAGCACAGGATGCGGATGACATTGAATGTTTTTCAGCGAAGATTTGCAGACACCGCAAACGAGATATGTGATTGCGGACTTACACTGACGATATATACAAGTGTTGTTCCAGAGAGACTACCGTAATTCAGAAGAATAGAGGAAAAAGACTAGAAAGTTGAGAAGTAACTGATAATTAAAATTGGAAGGACCTATGCATTGCAGCTGACTGAAAATAATTCCATAGACATGGTGCCCGTCAAAATTATAGGAAAATGTTCAAGAGCTACCAATTCGTAACTCTTCAGGCACTGCTTAGCCATTGGTTTTTGTTATTTTTACTACAATGTATTTCCTCTGACCTGCGCAGTAGGTACCAAGCATGTAAAATTGACTTCATTTTACAATTGGAAACTAGTATTCCTGACTAATCCATAGAAGAACCTATCTGTATTGGAAGACACGTGACACATATGTTGTCTCTAAAATGGGCCTGAAATAGTAGTTCCTCGTCGCAAAATGCAGTCCAAATGGCAGTGAACAGGGTACAGAATTTTAACTTCCAAGTATGCGGTAGTTCTTGTCGAACACTTTGGAAAACTTTTCCTCGAAAATCTGGTTTTCAACTTGAAGTTGATATAAATTGGACTAAATTTTGTAATCAGCAATTAATACCTCTGGTTCATTACGACTGGATTATTGTGACGACGTAAGTGCCATCACTTTCCCAGAGCAGATTCTCCCCTGTAATTTTTATGGATGATTCAGAAGTAAAAGTGCGAAACGATGTCCATCTGGCCTTGACTGATATCACCAGATTTTATACTGCCTGAATGTTTGTATAATCATCCTTCAGCCAGTGAGGCTAAAATTCTGAATTACACTTTGGATGCGCTGATTAGCCCCTCTGCATGAGCCTACAGAATTATTTTCCCTGCCTTGCAGTGCTTCTTGAGTTAAACAGAACAATGCTAAATTTTTAAAAAAAATTGTCCATCAGTACTTACCAAGGCCTTTAAGTGAGCAAATTTCATGGTACTGTTCAAGCAAAGGAACTTGGACCCATGAGCTAACCTCTCCCAGCAATTCAGAATTTTCAGAGAGGAAAGTAATCGGATCGTCAATGGATAGAGGAATGGTATCTTGAGTTTTCAACGTTATAATTGGAGCTCTGCCTTCTTCACTGTTTGCAAACAAAAAGTTGGTACACAGACTAGCCAAAAGAGCATTGCAAAAGTTGACAACGTCCTCCAATTATAAACAACCTAGCTCTTCAGAAGGGTAGGTACATTTTGCTAATGAAAGTTCAATTTCAGTTTCTCGATTTTCATCTGGACGTATTAATGATAAAAAGGACTACAAGTGAGTGAATAAAATATAAAAGAGCTTACGTAGCACGCAAATCTTTGATGTAGATAAAAATATAAAGCACTAAACATATAAAAATAGGTACAGATATAGTAAATAAAAATTCAGAAGTTCACGGTTGTTAAATATAATAAATGAACACCATTTCATGAGTCATCAACCACTTAATTTAAATTTAAATTTACGAAACTAGTACACTACATGGCCGACATTTCAGAGCCAGATTTGCCTTATCATCAAAGCAGAGTTATTCATAACAGAGTAATCCATATATTAATTAATTAATTAATTAATTTTTTAAGTTATTCATAACTCAGTTGTGAATAACTTCAATAATTTCATTCAGTTATGAATAACACTGCCCTGATGATGAAACAAATCTGACTCTGAAACATCGGCTAAGCAGTGTGCAAGTTTTGCAAATTTAAATTTAAATAAAATGGATGATAACTATTGAAATGGTGTTCAGTTATTATACGTTAAAAAAATATGTATATGTGTATATAAATGACATGTTACTTGAGCTGTAGCTAATTAGTTAAAAATTAACGATTAATAATTAAGGTCAAACCTGACCTGATTTTATCATTTCTTATTTTGTAAATAATTGGCTACAGCTCAAGTAACACGTCTTACATATTCACAGCCGATCCTACACATCAGATATATAAATATATCTCTGGTCTTCCATAGCACCCGTCCACTTTCTTTTTCTCGGAAACGGCCGAAAATTGAACTTCCAGACGATAACTTGTAGAGGTAACACAACACCAAAGACTTCGATTAAAATATATTCAGCCCCTCAAAACCACATGGGGAGGAGGGGGGGGGGTGTTAAGGAGGGTGCCTGCAATTTCTCGCATATTTAAGATAGGAAGGGTATGTTTTGACTTCGGATTTAAATTCTATGGCTAAAAATAAGAACTTTTTGTTCAAACCCTACATTTTTTGGAGTTATGGGGCATTTTTGGGAAAACTTCAATTACACACTGCAGGCAGGCGTTAAAATTATCCGATTTTCATAATCTAAAATTCCCCTGAGAGAAGAGCTCAATACCTTTTTATTGATGTGCCACATGACCTCTGTTGATCCAAAATTATGGAGGCCTCGACCTCCCGACAATTTTGGGGCTTTGGAGGGCCAAAAGTCGAAAATTTCAAATGGCAAGGGTATGTTTTGACTTCAGATTAGAATTCTACGCAAAAAGTTACGTAGAATTGGCATAGCGTACGGCCTATTTGCTCCAATTTTTTTGCCCCTTTTTTCCTCAAATGATACAGGAATTCTTGTGTGGAAAGATTATGTAGCATCGCGTCCAAGATATTGGACTCCATGCTAACCCTTGATATACTTGCCTGCTCATCTCGTCCAAGATCTTGGACTCGATGCTCATCACTAAACTTCTCACTTCTTTGCTTGAGCATGGAGTCCAAAAGCAAGTAGGTCCCTTAGTTTTAAAGTTCATCATGATAGAAAATCGTATACTTCGCTTATCTAATCTAACTTGAACTAACTTAACCTAACCTACCCTAACCTAACCTTCCCTAAGCAATGTACAATTTTTTTCAAGAACACATTTTTTCATCTATGTTTCACAAAAATTGTCGTATTAAATTTTTGGACTCCATGCTCGTGTATTGTCAGAGAATACCTGCGTCCCACAATTTTAGACGCTATGCTCACTTCGATTTTTCGAAAAAATTATCCCTAATTAAAGTGAGCATGGAGTCCAAGATCTTGGACGTCATGAGCAACCGAACATTATATAGCTGAGCATGGAGTCCAGTATCATGGACGCGATGCTACATTACCTGTGGAAATGGGGTTCTAAATTATTTTAGAGCTAATAGGCCACATGCCATATCAATTCTACGTAACTTATCGCGTAGAATCCAAATGTAAAGTCAAAATGTACCCTTGCCAGTTGAAATTGTCGACTTTTGGCCCTCCAAAGCCCCAAAATTGTCGGGAGGCCGAGGCCTCCATAATTTTTGATCAACAGAGGTCATGTGGCACATCAATAAAAAGGTATTGAGCTCTTCTCTCAGGAGAATTTTAGATTTAGAAAATCGGTTAATTTTAACGCCTACAGAGTCTAATTGAAATTCGCCCCAAAAATGCCCCAAAATGCCCATAACTCCAAAAATGGGGGGTTAGGGGAAAAGAGCATAGAACGAAGTTCTTATTTTTAGCCATAGAATTTAAATCTGAAGTCAAAACGTACCCTTCCTATTTGCAATATGCGAGAAACTGGGGGCACCCTAGGGTGTATCTTATTTTTGAGTTTTGCGAAAATCAAGTTGGTCAACCCCTAAAAAGTTTCTATGTAGTCTCTAGATGAACCCCCTAAAAGGAAAAAAATTTAAAAAAAATTTTAACCCGTGCCTCAAAGGGCCGAAAGGGCCTTAACCCAAATTCAAAAATTTTGGCAAGCTACACATCCATTCTGAAGGAAAATGGAAAGTTACGGTCCTCTTAGGGCAGAAATTTCGTCCGTTTTGCCGTATCTTGAAGCGTAAGGTCACAAACGGCCCGATGACGACGTGAGGCTATGGGCTGGCGGGGCGCGCCGCGGCCGGCCCGCCGCTGAGCGTGCGCGCGCGGCAGGGTTGCGCATCGCCGCTTTACACCGGCGTAGAGGAACGAACGGTGGGGTGGGAGGGGGATATCCGGTGGAAAAGCATCCACATTTTCTATCCATAATGAAAATGCATTATACTTTTTCAATATAGATGAGGAAATATGAGCCATACAAGGAAATGATGAAAAGAGTGACAAATACATATATAGTTTGTACGGTTAGGAGTGTAAGTGGGGAAAATTTGCCGTAACTACAGAACAGCCCTGAAAATCTTCGGGAAATAAAAGCTGCTATTGATGAGAGGTTTGCATGAGAGGTTTAATTAAGGACTTATTAAAAAGATAGGTGCGATGTTGTCGAATCGTAATTCCTTTCCGCGATCAAAAGCGATTAGTGTAAATTTAATTGGAAAAGTTTAAGAAAAATTTGATGAAAGAAAATTGCCCCAAATTCGGGAAGTGCTTAAAGTGTTTTTCTATCATGTGAAGTGTTCACAGATGAATGTCAATGGCAGTAATTCCAATATGGAATGAAAAATGTAGAATCCCTGTGATACACAGTGTCTATGTTTACCCTCCTTTTCATTAGTGCATTTAACGTGACATCAATTAGAAAGTTTAATTCGAGAGGTTCAATATGGCTTACCCACTTACATTTTCTGATACTGATCCCCCCCTCCCCCCGCCACAGTTACTTGCTATAATCAAAAATGTAATATTAGTTTCACGAAAAAATATGATTTAATTTGGGGTTTGAACCCCACTCTTTAGAACCGTGGGCAATGCCCTTGACCACTCGGCTACTGGGGAAGATTTGAGTAAATGAGGCTAATGTGTCATTTAGCCCCGTGGGTGAGGCCAGGCAATCAACATCAGCTGTAAGTTGGCGAAGCCAGATTGAACCGATTGAATAAAACTTTCTAATTGATGCCGCGTCAAATACACCAATGAAAAGGAGGGTAAACAAAGTCTTATTGATGTATCAAACCTTCAGTGATTTCATATGAAATGAAAAAACTTATTTTCTTCCGTTTGGCGGGACTAGCGAGCGTGAATTTTTCCTGTCGAGAAACTCTCTCCTGGGCGCGAGCTTTCTTCTTGTCTGCTCTCTTCACCTCTGCTGCAAGGATAGTATCCTTCACTGTGGATATTATGCATTCTCATTCAGGTTTTTGCTGAAGAATTAAAAATGCTTTATCCTCTTCATTTTCCATGATATCTAGAGTATTGCATAAAGCAATGTCGAATAACACGTCGATTTTTGCCGTAAAATCAGTCTCCAAATTCTCTTGAACCAGCGATCGACGGCTGGCATTTTTTGATACGCGCCTCCACACTCCTCATAAAAATGTAAACATTTTTAAAAACATGGACACTATGTATCACAGGGATTCTAAATTTTTCATTCCATATTGGAATTACAAGATCAGAGGTTTTCGACGCACCGCCATTGACATTAATGTGCGAAAACTTCACATAATAGAAAAACACTTTAAGCACTTCCCGAATTTNGCATATTGCAAATAGGAAGGGTACGTTTTGACTTCAGATTTAAATTCTATGGCTAAAAATAAGAACTTCGTTCTATGCTCTTTTCCCCTAACCCCCCATTTTTGGAGTTATGGGCATTTTGGGGCATTTTTGGGGCGAATTTCAATTAGACTCTGTAGGCGTTAAAATTAACCGATTTTCTAAATCTAAAATTCTCCTGAGAGAAGAGCTCAATACCTTTTTATTGATGTGCCACATGACCTCTGTTGATCAAAAATTATGGAGGCCTCGGCCTCCCGACAATTTTGGGGCTTTGGAGGGCCAAAAGTCGACAATTTCAACTGGCAAGGGTACATTTTGACTTTACATTTGGATTCTACGCGATAAGTTACGTAGAATTGATATGGCATGTGGCACGGGTTAACATTCTTTTAAAATTTTTTCCTTTTAGGGGGTTCATTTAGAGACTACATAGAAACTTTTTAGGGGTTGACCAACTTGATTTTCGCAAAACTCAAAAATAAGATACACCCTAGGGCACCCCCCTTAAAACAATTCAAATATGACAATGTTGTAACAACAACAAGAGAACAAAAATCAATACGTTTCATGTCAGTTAAGTTTTCCATAACCTCCGGTGCATTAATTAAACAGTCGATACACCAAAAGTGCTGTAGTTATTTCTTAAAGTCCCTCATAATATTCCTTTATCCCTACGACCCCCCCCCCCCCAAAAAAAAATGGGGTTTGGGGGCTGAGGATATTTACATTGAATTCGTTGGGCTGGATTTATCCCTAAAAGTTTTCGTCACGAAGTTCCATTCTCGGCCGTCTCCGAGAAAAAGATAGTGGAAGGGTGCTCTGGAACACCCGGAATATATGAGAGGCTTGGAAGGCAGGGTACAGTTTTTATTATTTCGAAAAAAAAAAAAGAGTTTAAAGTTTTGCATTGCACTCAGACCTATCGAGTGCTCCGAATACTTTCAAAATTTACAAGTGTTTGCCTCACACCTTCATGAACATTTTTTGAAATTTTCAGCTCGGTTGAGCCAAATTGAAGCCAGCAGTTGGGCTTAAAGTGACGGAATGTCGCACTTATCCCACGTCCCTTCTAAACGAAAAATGCACTTATCACATTCGCTGTTTTCTCCGCGTCAAATAACTTCCAGACAGAGTCGCTAGGTATTCTGATAAACCTTACCTTCAACTACCAAAAAACACCCAAAATCGATTTTGATCAAAGGCATGCTTCTGGGCACATGATTTTATTTTTATTTCGATTCTTCCTTTTTCAACACAAAAAAACACGAAATGGTCCGGATTTCTGTTTCCCCTTCGCCTTTCCTTCCTTTTTTTATGTGCTTTCAGAGAGGTCCAGTCGTTTTCTTGTATCTCACCTGCGGGGCGATTATTGAAATGATATCGACTGTACGTCGCCGCTTTGTCGTGTCGCGCCATCGACTAAGAGCCACTCAGTCGATGGCGCGACACGACAAAGCGGCAACATACAGTCGATGTCATTTCAATAATCGCCCCTCTGGTGAAATACAAGCATGACAAGCTATGGAACACAGCTGAGGTGGCTGGGCTCTGATCTCTGGTCTCGAATCTCTAATACTGCATTTATGGACCTTGTCTTCCAGGCCCCTGATATATAAGAAAAAGTCGAAGTAAAAAGTTCAGGCATGTGCAGCTGAGTTTTCACCCTGAATTTTAAAATTCCTGATTTATTTTTTAGGGTTCTCAATGTAAGATGGGTTGTAAAAATGGTGAAAAGTAAGTAAGTGAGTAGGTAAGTACCTAAGTAAAGGGCGGGCTGACCGGCGAAGCGCCCTCAAAGGGCCAAAGCAACTGACAGGAACCCTGGCGTCCTGCACCCTGAAGTTAGACTGCACTCCTTAACTTCATACTATTGACACATTCCATATTCCCGCAAGGCTCATCAGCCGTCTGACAGCCGACGGTGGGTGGGTGCTTTCAAATAAAAGTCTACTTAAAGGTCCGACTTACCCCAAAATTTCATTTTTAACTTGATGGAAAAAAACGAGGAATTTTTCAAATTGGCAGCCAAAAATACACAGGAAACCATGTATTGTACCCTTCTTAAGATTTCCTTTTTTTTCCTAATACCAAGATTTTCCTGACCAATTTTATTTAAGTCGATTGATTAGTCACCGAGATAGCGTTTCAAGCCATGCCCACCATCTCAGATTTTCGAATTTGAGAAAGTTGACTGAAAAGTCGAGTTTCCGATTGAAAAATTTACGTGGACACCAAGTTTCACTTGAAACGATTGATTAGGTGCCGAAATAGCATTTTAGGGCACGTCCACCGTCTTGGATTTTCGAATTTTGGAACTTCGAGTTTCCCTTTAAAAAGTACCGTGGGACACCCACTTAAATCGGTTGAATAGAGCACTTACAGGGCTTAGACAAGCAAGTCTCAGTTGTAACAGTAAAGAAAGAATCGGATTTCCTCTCTGTCCCACCAGGTGGGACAGAATAGAACGGGACAGAGTGGAAATAAACTTTTTTTGAAGCCTTTCTCTAACAATAAAGACAATATTGGAAATTTTTTCACGGACTTTGTAGTAGTACGTCTTTGTGTACCAGAATAAGAAAAGGTATTCTACAAGTCACACTTAGAAAGTATTTTACGAGCTGATATTAGTGGGTGTGTGTATGTTTGACGTACCGTATATCGCATTTTAATTGGCATCCTAAATGGCGTTTATTTTGCACAAAAATTTCAGAACTTCACTATTTTGCCATCTAAGACATGTGAGCTAGTCACTAGAAACAGAAAAAAGTCCTTTTAGAAAAATTTCAAAATAACAGCAATTATTCAGAGCTCAATACATCGTTGCCATTTCTCTCCTGTCTGTTGCCGACTGTTGCTGGGGACAATGATTTTTGCACGTGAAAAAGTTATTGATAGAGTAAGGATGGCCTATTTTTTTTCTCCGGTTCGAAGGTGTTACCTTTCATTTTAAATGAAGTTTTCTCAAGTAATCACTCTAATTGCGTTGCAATATCTGTTTTAAGTCCAGAACCATGTATGGGGGACAAGCAAATTTGAAATAAATTAGGGTAATTTGCACACAGATTATTCTGCAAAATTTTTACTTTAGTCTGAATAATGTAGAGGATAGTGTATGTTAGTCGACAAATGTGTCGACAGTATGACGACAGTATGGTAAATGAGAAAAAAATGTGATTTGACCATTATTGACATATTATAGCGATTAAAACAACTGGGGTTACTAAATTAGACGCTTATTTGAAAGCACCTTATTGTCGGCACCGAAGCATCTTAGCACCGGTCTTATCGAAGACTGTGGTAGACGCTGCAGAGCCCGAATATTCGGAGCACGGTCATGCCCCCACCAAGTTGGACTAAGTCCTTTCAATCTCCACTAATAGGTAGGTAGGTAGGCAGTCGAGCTCACTACGAGTGATCAACGATTTTTAACAACCCTGTGAAACAGTGTGGACTGATTATGGTGAAAACATTTTAATTTTGCATTTTGAATTTACAAAGGTGGCTGCTATATTCAATCTAACAGGAGATCTGAGTGGTTACCAAGGAGGATGGGTTGACAGCGTATCATTGAGAAGAGCAGGCAAAAGTTGAGTTGGATAGAAGACATCAAAAAAGTGTGAAAAGAGAGGAGGTAGGAAATTTTCATAATTTTACCAGATAAAAATGCTTCTGAGTTCTTGCAGCAACCATGATACTGTCAACAAGTGCTCCTTTTTTTCTACTCCAATCTCGTGAGGTACTGTAATCTCAAATAATTCTTCTTTAATTCGAACTTTAATGAGCTGTTTCGCTGATGATTCCTTCTCTAGAGCAAGCTCACGCTGTGGTTCATATACTGATGACTCAGGTCGGTGCCTGAGTTGTTGTTCTGCACTTGAGCCTTCAAATATCATGCATTGATGCTGAAGTGGATTGAAACAGGAATCTTTCTCAGGACCAGTGCAAACTATACCGGCACTTTTCATGTTATCAAGGTTGGTATTCACTTCAGGAGAGTTCAATGCGGTCAAAGTTTCTTGCTGTAAAATTTTGTTGCAGGATCTGAAAATTTAAGTTTATACGTACGTAAATTATGGAAAGATGCAGCTGGATAATTTGGGATGTTGTTGATGCTGAAATATTCCAACTGCTTTTGAGTTATAGAAAGCAGGCTTGGCACAAATCCTCAAAAACACACATAAAACAAAGAAAAAGTCTTCAAATGGAACTTAGTTTGGTAAAAACTTCAAGAAAATAGTTCAGTAAAAGGCGGGAATAAAAGGAGAGATCTAATATTTTTGTGCTACCAGCACCCAGAACTTCGATTAACATTGGGGAAATTTCAGTGAAGTTTAATCTCTTTCATTCGAACAACTTCTACATAGCTTTCCATGGAAGTTATCCTAATTATAGATATTCCTTCAAAGGATACATAAAAGCATAATTCAACCTTCAAAAAATTCTTCTACATTCTTTTATGCCATATTCCTTTGTGGAAGTTGGGAGAAAAAAATCTGATAAAATTAATCTTTGGGTTATTTTCTCATTTTTGCGATTTTTATGGATTTTTTTGCACTGTTTTCCGTCAAAATATACCGTGTCCTATGTCAGAAACTATTGTTATTTCTCTTACCCAATAAATTTTTTCTGGCCAGATGCCATTTAGCAGATAAAAGAACCCAAAAATTCTATGAATTATATTTTAAGTATGTAGTTTCTTTCAAAATTTTACAGTTTTAACTTGCTCCTCACATCCATCCTAGGTTGCATTATGTAGCAGTCTGGGTCCAGGCGTAAAGTTAGCTGAAATTTCAGGTACACAGCTGCTTTTTCTTTACTTACTTCATTTTCTTTAGGTCATTGAATCTGAATCTAAAGTTTTCTTACACCTATCTGGCGAGCATTTGCTGCCTTCAGGAAAAAATGACCTGAATAATTTGTAGAGGTTTTTTTTTCCTTCAAAATAGAGGCTTCACATTAAAAAAAAAAAAAAAAAAAAAAAAAAAAAAAAAAAAAAAAAAAAATTAAAAAAAAAAATAATAAAAACATTGGTATTGTTGATGTATGAAAACTGACGTAATCTAAACGAAAACGATGCTACATATAATAGATTTGCTCAAAAATCAAGGGAGATACAACAATGTGAAAATCAAGCCAATTTAGATTTCCGAAGCGTGCTTGTCGGCTCAGTCTGCCACGCCACAGTGCTCAAAGTTCTGACAGAGTTGGTTTAGGAAATCCTCCAATAGTCTCCAGGACAGTAGTTATGGCATTACCTATTGATATTCTTGAAAAATGTTATGAAAGGAGTTGTCCCGTGATGATGACAAAATGACTTGTCATTTCCCATCCGTCCCTCACACGACATGACAAGTGTACTCGTCATCTGATGCCAATGGGTTAATGCAAGCTCTGATCCTGATCACGGAGGTGAATCCAAAAAACAAGGCAAAGTAAAAAAGTGAAATAAAATAAAAGAATACCGAGAAATAAGTTCAGGGCTTCCAGGAGGAGACTCCGAGTCTGAGAGATGGAAATCAGGACTGTTATCCTCAATCAAGAATGGTCTTTCCCCAAATCTGTTTGATGAATTCGCAACAGGACTTTTTGAGGACAAAAACGCGTCACCTCTTTCAGTGCTGTGACAGTGACCATTTGTGATGCTATCAGTGGAGCTACAACTCATACTTCTTTTGCGCTTTTTTGGATGTCTGTAGTCAATAGACCTACAAAATTGTAGCAAAGACTTGTTAATGAAGGTTAGATTAGTTTTTTCTTATAATTTACATGCTCTTTTCAGTGCAAAGGAATATGATTTTTCCTGTCCTTTCAAGTAAGTAAGTAAGTAAGTAATTAATTAGGTTAGTAAGTCAGTGAGTGAGTGGGTAAGTAAGTAAGTTAGTAAGTAAGTAAGCAGGTAAGTTGAGTAAGTAAGTGCTGGGCTGACGCGTTCTCCAGAGGCCAAGGCACCTGGCAACTGCCGTTGTACACCCTGAAGTTGGACCGTGCTCCCTAACTTATCTCATGATACTTATCACATTTCCGTAAGGCTCCACGGCCGTCTGATAAACCAGTAGGAGGTCGTATCAGTGGACTGTTGTCCTATTAAACTTACAGCATTGGCAAAAATTATTTTTGTGTTTGAGCAATGCACAGGTCAGGTGTGTCTAAAAACAAAATACTTTATGCTGTACACAGAATGAAACTTTAATAGCTTTATTGATTTCAGAGTAGCAACTGATTTTTAGAGGAACGCTTCAGTAAATTAGTGAATCGGATCATCTGCAGATTACAAATCACATAATAGAGACTAAGAAGAAGTTACATAATTTTTAAAATCTTGCAACCACGTAGTCATAACTGCATTCTTCGAGCAAGATAATCTTCCTCGGCATTTACACCCAGGAGCATTTAATGTATTATGCATCCATGCTGAGAATAAGAAATACTGTTATCCCACTGGGTCGAATCTGAGAGGAGCAGGCTAAACAAATGAAACTGAATCAATCGTTTTAACTAGAATACTATATGGCAGCCTTTGCCTTCAACAAAAACTTCCATCATTTGAAATTCTCAAATGACACTTTCTCATCCCTGAAACATTATCAAAAATCCATCATTCAACTGACGACAAAACATTGTTGATAAACAACTTCAAAAACAAAACATCGTTGTTCGATTCATCATTCCAAAAAAAAGAAATATTTTTAAAATGGCACAAAAAATAACAATTCAAGCAAATGATCTTGCTTTAACAATGTTACTTCATGAAATCTTCTGTTATAGACAAAGAACAGATCAAACGTTCACACTGTTTTCAATGATTTTGAAAATAAGATCTATATTTCTTTCAAATGTTTTTACATTTGGTGAATAAAATATGTCAAAAACAATCAATAAGTACCTTCTGGAATCAATATCCACGTTCTTTTGATTTCTAATTGAAGAGGATTTTTGGTAACTGTAGTTTCCGATAAGATCATTACTTCGTTTTTTAGGTGGCTGCAAAACATCCACCATATCATCTTCTAACCAGTCATTCCCAACTTCTTCAGTACCTAGGAATGCTGCAGCAGCATCTGACTTAAAATTCTCAATCTTTAAAAAATAAAAAATAAAATAATAATAATAATAATAATAATAATAATAATAATAATAATAATAATAAAACCCCTACCCCACCATCATCGACGAGAAGCAACCTCTGGGTGGGCGTCTTAAGACACAGTTCTCACCCCGGTTACTGCAAACCTTATCGTCGGCTGTAAATTGGCCATTCATAGCCAAGTTAACACCGGCCTCAACCCACTTTACTCTCATTACCAATGAGCATTGTTTGCTCACGTGAAGAGAGCCCAACTACCCAGTAAAGCTTGAGATAACTTCGCATATAAATAATAATAATAATAATAATAATAAAAATGCAACTATTGTAGATGCTAAGTATAGAGATAAGATCGAAAAGTATCTGCCCTTAGCATCTGAAATACAGCGACTGTGGAAGCTTAAAGAAGTAATTATTGTACCATTTATAATATCCGTCACGGGGATCACTCCTCATTCTTTCCTGAGACATCTGAAGCAGCTCCACTTAGGTGAAAACGTTCACACCCAAAGCCAGAAAGCTGTTATCCTGCACACCTGTAATATCACTAGATCTTTCCTAAACTTAGGGCAGTGACTGTATTTTTCTTTTTAATTATGTGACCGACTGCTAACCTATGGTTTATGCTCTTTTATTTTAACAATCTTTTTAAATTTTTAATTTTACGTTTTTAACAACTTTTTTCGATTTTAACATTCAAATTTTAGCAACTTTAAGTCAAATTTTACCAATTTTAAGTCAAATCTAAGCAGTTTTAAATCAAATTTTAGCAATTTTAAAAGGCTCTAGCTTTAAAAGACCTGGCTACGGTCCGTCTTTCAATGAGTTTCTTTCCACAAACGTATTTTTGTGAGAAAAGTACTTCTGAAATATAATAATAATAATAATAATAATAATAAAGGAAAAACCGACCGAACCGATGGTAATGCAGAAGAATTGACTCAGGTCTCTGGGACAACACGGAAAAGAACGCAGAAACAGCAGAATCAGCTGAATCAAACACCACAGGCCCAAAGCCCACCACCAACTAGCCCGGCCGGTAAGAACACAAACGCACAGCGTAGGCAAGCAACAGAGCGAGTGAAGTGGACCACAGAAGAGTATAAAGAAATAATATGGTGCTACTGGTACATCAAAGAGAGCACTCAAAGCTGCAATATAAACGCCAACTATGACCTCTGGAGAAAAAGGAATCCGAACACCCGCCCGCATATCGATGCAAACAAGCTCGCCACACAAAGACGATTCATTGCGAAAAACCAAAAACTAAGTGAGGCACAAATTGAAGAAATCAAAGCTGATGTAGCCGCAAACCTAGCAACACAATGTGAACCGGGTGTCACCAGAAAAACCCAAAATACCAATAACAACCAAAACTCCCCTACCACAATGAATAATGCAGCCAACCACACCCAGAGAGTACAATGGACCGAAGAGGAATACAAAGAAGTCATATGGTGCCATTGGTTTGTTAAGGAAAACACGGGCATCCACAACATAAAGGCCACCTACGAGCTATGGAGGCAACGAAACCCTAATGCCCGCCTGCATCTCAACGCTAATAAGCTAGCCACGCAACGAAGATACATCGAGAACAAGAAAAAACTAACCGAACAACAGCTTCAAGAAATTAAAGACGATGTTCACTCCACCATAGAAGCATCCACTGACCAACACACAACTGAAAGCTCACCAGGTGATGCCACAAACGACGAGAACCGCCCGTCGAGACGGAATGATCCAACTGACACCAGGGAATCAGAGTCAACGCCAAACATACCTCAAACCAACGAAACTCCCAGAAGAAGTAAGCAGCTAAGAATACCATCTCCAGAACCAGAACACGAAACAACTCCCCAAGAGCAGAACACGGCGAGCACACTAGAAACAACGACCTCTACATCAAAGCTAAGAAGCGTGTATCAAGAAGTTCTCGAGATGAATCTGGAAGAAAGAGAGCCGATAAGGAAAATAAAGGGGGCGAAAAAAGACCAAGAAATCATCATGCGAACTAACAATGAAGTACAAAATATGCTTGAGAGCGAAGAAAATCTCGACCTGTGGAAAATCAACTGCTTGCTCTACGCTGCAGCCCTCACAATCAGTGACGAGTCGAACGGCCCAAAAGGAACTAAAATGAACAAGAAAGAAAGTAAGCCCCTATGGCAAAAAAGAATTGAGTTCAGAATCCAAGATCTGAGGAGGAACCTTTCAGTACTAGCTAACTTCAAAATAACGAGCAAGGAAAAAGGACAACAGACAACCCACAAAGTCCAGTCAATCCTGGATAAATACACCGCGGAAGGAGAAGAAAGCAGTATAGACAATGTAATGGAGCAACTGAGGCAACGTATTGCTGTCTTTAGCCAAAGAATAAGAAGATACCAGAAAAGATCAAATCAATTCTCTCACAACAGAAGCTTCGAAACCAACTGCAAAAGCTTCTACAGGAACATCAAAGGTGACTCCTCCGACATCGGTGAAACCCCAGAGAAAGAAAAGGTGGAAGAGTTCTGGAAAGGAATCTACGAAGTCCCTACTCAGCACAACTCGGAGGCTGGGTGGATCAAAGACTCAGAGGTCACGAACAACAAAATGGAATGGACAGATCTCGGTGATGATGAACTGATAACTACCATAAAAAACCTTGCAAACTGGAAAGCACCCGGCCCAGATAAGATACAAAGCTTCTGGTTCAAAAAAATCCCTAGCATCCATAAGTACCTAACAGCCGAGTACAATAAATTACTGAACGGGAAAGAATTCCCACCATGGCTGGCCAAAGGGACTACATATCTGATAGCAAAGAATAGAGAAACGGCAAATCCCAAAAACTATAGGCCCATAACCTGCCTCAACATAGCGTATAAGATCTTCACGGCACTCTTGGCCGGAAAAACGTACAAATACCTAGAAAGTGCCAAACTACTCCCTATAGAGCAGAAAGGGTGCCGCAAAGGAGCTAAAGGGTGCCTTGACCAACTCTTAATATCCAAAACCATCATTGAGGACTGCAGGAAGAACAAGAAGAACCTATCGATCGCATGGCTGGACTACCAAAAAGCCTTCGACAGCATGCCTCACAGCTGGATCATCCGTGCACTGGAACTCATGGGAGTGCACCCGAATATAGTAAACGCCTGTAAGAACATGATGGAGCACTGGTCAACATGCATCCAACTAAGAGGAAAAACAGATACAATTATCACCTCTGAAATTAAAATAAGACGAGGAATCTACCAAGGGGACGCGTTCTCCCCCCTTCTGTTCTGCGTTGGATTAATACCCCTCTCTACACGACTAAACAACATGAACAATGGATATAACATCAAGGCAGGCCATAAACAACTGACGCACCTCCTGTATATGGATGATCTGAAACTGTTCAGCAGCAGCGACGAGAAACTGCAAAATCAACTCGAGACGGTGAAAGAATTCAGTGACGACATAGGTATGAAATTTGGCCTAGATAAGTGTGCCAAGGTAACCTTCAAGAAAGGTAAATACATCCACGGAGAAAACATGGATATAGACGTCGACACCAGCATCCGACAGTTAGACCCAGGTGAAACATACAAATACCTCGGAATGGAAGAAAGTATAGGTATCCAACATAAGACAATAAAAGAAAAGGTAAAGAGAGAATACATACGTCGAGTAAGAGCAGTACTAAAGACAGAGCTAACGGCAAAAAACAAGATAACTGCAATCGGAGCGCTAGCCGTACCCGTTCTACAGTACGGATTTGCAATTCTGAATTGGAAAATTAAAGAAATAAAAGCGCCAGACATAAAAACAAGAAAATGTCTGACAATGCATAAAATGCACCACCCATCCGCAGACGTTGACAGGCTATACGTGAGCAGAAAACTAGGAGGACGAGGACTTAGGCAAATAGAATCAACATACAAATCTTCCATCATCAATGCGAAGTACTACCTCCAGGAAAAAAAAACGAAGACCCTTTTCTCAAAGCCGTATATGCCGTCAACCTTGCTCTAGACAAAGACCACATTGCGAAAGAAGCAAACAAATTTGAAGCCGAGCTCGGAGAAAACTTTGAAGTGGCCCCCATAAACAGCAGGAAGCAAAAAATGAAAAAGAAAATCTCAGAAAGCATCAGAACCAAATGGAAAGGAAAGATCATGCACGGACAGTATCCACTGATGCTAGAAAATGACTCTATCGAGAGTAATCTCTCTACCATCTGGCTCAGTAAAGGTGTACTAAAAGCAGAAACAGAGAGCCTAATTGTAGCGGCACAGGATCAAGCCTTGAACACAAGGTACCGGGAGAGGAAAATCCACAAGAAACATGTGAATAGCAAATGCAGAATCTGCCACCAGTTCGAAGAAACCATTGAGCACATAACATTAGGGTACCCAATTCTAGCCCAAAAGGACTATATCGAGAGACACGACAGAGTATGCACCCAACTTCACTACAGCCTCTGCAAAGAATATGGAATCGAAGTCGACGCAGATAAATGGTATGAACACAAACCGAAAAACACTGCAACAACCAGAGATGGAGAGACAACGATCCTGTGGAACTTCCCTATCAGAACCGATAGAACTGTTGAGGCAAACAGACCGGACATCATCCTACGTAGGAAAGGCCAAACGTGTCTGCTGATTGACGTCTCTATCCCAGCAGACAGGAACATCACAAAAGAGGAAGCTGAGAAGAAACTAAAGTATAAAGACCTAGAGATCGAAATCAGCAGGATGTGGAAGACCAAAACCCGAGTCATACCCTTTGTGATAGGAGCTACCGGAGCAGTCTCTAAAGACTGGACTAAACTGAAGAACGAAATCCCTGGGAAACATTCGCTAGTATTGGCCCAGAAGTCTGCTGTGTTAGGCACTGCCAGAATCCTCCGGAAGGTCTTAAGCTAGGTGGAGCAGCGCGAATACACCTAGAACGTTCCCACACACCAAAAACACCCCTACCGCCTACCACCTCAGGAAAGAAACCTTTAGGCAGGCGTCCT